TGAGTTGTTTAAAAAGTGGATCAGAGTGTGCACAGTATTCGGAATTTGTAAGAATACGTACAGCTCGTTTTTGTAAAAGGAGAATTCTATTGAGGTTGGTTACATAAGTGGAAGACCATACTATATTACAATAAGTAAGATAGGGATATATAAGTGTGTAGTACAAGGATAATCTTGTTGTGGATGACAGTAGATATCGTGATCGGTAAATAATTCCAACAGACTTGGCGATTTTATTGCAAATATAATTAATATGTTCCTTCCATGACAAAAGTTTGTCTATATATACTCCTAAAAATTTTATATATTGTTTTTGAGTGATCATTTGATTGTTATATTGGATAACAAGATTTAAATTAATTTTCTTTTGTCTCGGCCGAAAAATGATTTAATTTGTTTTACTGATGTTCACAGACAATTTATTTGACTTTATCCAGATATCCAGCTTTTGAAAGTTCACTGTTCAAAACACATACAAGCTGTTTGATCTCCGAATTTGAATAATATATACTAGTGTCATCAGCAAAAAGATACGATTTTGACAGTTCTAATGCATTCAGTAGATCATTGATATATAAAATAAAACATAATGGGCCTAAAATAGAACCTTGCAGAACTCCACATTTTAATTTTTCCATGGAGGAACAGGTTTCATTATATTGAACAAATTGTTCACGATTGCAGAAATAGCTCTTGATCCATTGGAGTGCAACACCTCTTTTACCATGTTGTAATTTAGAAAGATCAATGAACCTTTGAAAGATCAATGAACACTCCAGCAGCTATCTGGTACTGATCAATGGGCGTGGCAACGTTATTTATTAGAGAAACAAGTGAATGCATAGTAGAATGGTTACTGCGAAAACCAAACTGATATCTATACAAAATTTCACATTGCTCAATGAGTGATGTTAACCTGGTTTGCATAACTTTTTCAAATAACTTTGAAAAGTTTGTCAAGAGTGATATAGGTCTATAGTTTGTAAAGAAACTTTGATTTCCAGTTTTAAAAATTGGTATAATTTTAGCGAACTTTAGTTTGCTTGGAAAGAACCCTTTGGACAAAGAGAGATTTATAACATTAACAAGGGGTTCTACTATTAGGTCAATAGATTTTTTTATTACATACATGGATAGATTATCATAACCAGGAGCTTTAGCAGTTTTAAAAGAGTTACAGATTTCTAAAAGCTCAATTGCATTTGTTGGATGAAGTGAAATAGATTCTTCGCTATTTGAATTTAGGAAAGAAAGAAAAGAGTTTGAAGTCTCAGGAATCTTACTTGCAAGATCAGGGCCAATGTTAGCAAAATATTTTTCCAAAACCTGTTAGCAATGTCTTTAGGATCAGAGATATGAAGAAGAAGAAGAAAAGTTAGATAGCGAGACATGTTTTTCCCATCGCAATGTCATTAGGATCAGAGATATGAAGAAAAAGAAAAGTTAGATAGCGAGACATGTTTTTCCCATCATTTGAACTTTTCAAAAATTTAAAGCATTGCTAAGTAGCATACCTGAAGGTGAGATTTGATGCTTCATTTTGTACGGTATTTCAGTTTGTTTTCTAGATTTTTAGTCATTTTTATCATAAATATAAGTACGGTATTATTATTTGTAGCTAGTGATCCAAGGATAGTGTAAAGTTTCAAATTGAAAAAGACCACTGCAAGAACTGTATAGCCTATAGGGTTGCTGACCTTGAACAGTAAGCAGGTATAGGCTAGAGAATACACGTTACTCAAAAATGTGGATTAGAATAATGTTGAAAGAGAGAACAATTCCTTATCACTCCGATGTGTTCGTAAATCATTGATTAATAAATTTTGGATTGCAAGAGCTCTAATTTAAGCATGATGACTTTCTGTTCTGTAAAGCTGATGCCTTATTAATACACTACGTCTACAAAATAAACAGTTACCATCACCGACAATGTTTACTGGCTTTCATCCTATTCGAGCTGGTCTTGTGGTCAATACTGACATATTTGAATTGCGTACGGGACCCGGGTTTAACTTGACATCACCAGACACAAATAAGAAATTTCTGTCAGATGTCGTTATTCTTTGCATATTACATTCACTAGTGCCCACAACTTAATGCTGTTTGACTTAACCAATTTGTGTTTTCTACTTCTAGACAAATCTAGTTCTAGCAGGCTTTGTAGATCTTTGTACTGTTTTTCAGACTTGCAAAGTTGTGCATTAATAGACCTCTAGAAAAGTGTGACATGGCCAAATGATTTTTATGAGCTGTGCTCTTAATGAGGCTGGCCTTGTGACATTGCCAAATGTATTTATCTGCAAACTAATCAGGCAAGCCAAATGGCTGTGCGGGGGTTTCCTTTATCCACAAACACGTCACAAGGCAGACATTTTAAAAAGGTCTATTGACATTGACAATAGTTTGTGGATAAATAGGATCATTTGGCCAATCAGGAAAACCAGATGGTTGTGCGGGGTTTTCCTTTAACAGCTTCCTAAATTTCCACATATATACATTTCTTTGTTACTGAATTACATCTTTTCGGTATCTTGTAAAAAGCAAATTGTGAACGCAAGATGATTTAGGAATAGATTGCCCAATAATATACACTTAATGTCTGCACTGAGGGAAATAGTTTTGTTTTCCCGAGAATCTCAATGTTTCCCGAGACGAAGTCGAGGGAAACATTGAGATTCGAGGGAAAACAAAACTAACTATTTCCCTCGGGTGCAGACATTAAGTGTTTTGTTATATAGCGACGAAACAAATATCAACATTGAACAACATTCATACAACAATATTTGTATTTCATGACAAAAACTCTATAGCGTAAATGAGTTTAAAATTTAAAAAACCTACTTAAATGGTTTCAGCAGCATATCCTGTTGCCTGTTATGTATTTTTCTTCTCTTTTACATTCTTTATTTTAACACAAAGCCACGAAAACAGTAGTTTAAATAGTATAAATTTGTGCCGCCATTTTGTTTATTTATGTACGTAGCCGGTCGGGGCGGGCAACAATTTTTCACGTATTGCCCGGGCGGGATACATTGCATTTATCTAAAGCCACGTGACTACAAATCAGCCAGTCACGTTTGGTGTTCACACTAGCTATATAACAATTTAGTTTAGTTGAGTTTCTCACTCATTGGTGAGCGGATTTCCCAACAGGCTATATTATTGCCCAATTGATAGGGGGTCCGAGGTACCTACGATTTTAACGTCCTTATCCGAGAAGACACGAAAGTCCATTTACTGATGTCAATGTAAAGGTAGCTCTTCCTCAGTTATTTTAAGACTTTGAGTAGAAGTCCTACTCCAGGATTGAACCCGGGTCTCCCAACAGGCTATATTATTGCCCAATCGATAGGGGATCCGAGGTACCTACGATTTTAACGTCCTTATCCGAGAAGACACGAAAGTCCATTTACTGATGTCAATGTAAAGGTAGCTCTTCCTCAGTTATTTTAAGACTTTGAGTAGAAGTCCTACTCCAGGATTGAACCCGGGTTTCCCATCACAAGTGATGATCACGACATCACAAGTTAAGGTTACAGAACACCTTTGAGTGTTAATTTTGACTAAACTTTTTTTATTGGTTTCCATGAAAGCATTAGACCAGTTCTACTATCTGACCAAGTTTGAACGAAAAATGTTGAAAACTCGCGGAGTTATTTAATAAAATACATTTCGCTGCAATAAGAAAAACATTGAAAATGCAATATTCAAATTCAATTTTCTCCCGAAGAATTTTACGGTAATTACTGATTATTTTCAAACGAGTTGTGCTCCTGCGGGTTTTGACCAATTTTTCTCAAATTGTCACAGGACATAGCTAAAGACGTCAGTTTCAAAATTGTGTTCGGCTTTTCTTTAATTTTGGATATTTTAATAATAAAGAGCAATTCACTCAAACAATTCAGAAATATATTGCAGTCGTCAAAGAAATCGCCATATCAGCGGAATGACGAAATAAACAAAAAATTCCGAACACAATTTTTTAGAACAACTATTTTACTGTATAAAAATGATATTTTCATAAATATAACTTAAAACCAGCAGGAGCACAACTCAAAAGCGTAACGGTACCGCGATTTAAGATTTTCCTGAATAATTCTTATATTATTTTATTGTTTGTTAATTTTACAACTTTACCATATTTTGCATACACTGGCGAACATTTGGTGAAAATTTGAGTCAAATCGGACTGATATTGAGCGCGCAGTAGCGATTTTCCGCAAAACGCCAAAAAGGGTGTCCTGTAACCTTAACTAATACAAACACACTAAATAATATATATGTATATAAAGTAACAAATCAGGATTAGAAACAGCATTGGCTAACAAGTATACTTTTAAATTGATTAATTGTTATGCCCTGTTCTTTTGCTGAAATTGGCAAACTATTCCATAGTAAAGCCCCAGAGTAGCTAATACTTTTTTTCAAAAAGTTGGTTTTAGGCTTAGGAATATGGAAATTAACAGCATTACTTCTCAAATTATGAAATTCATTGTTACTAATTTCAAAAATATCTGTCATAGGCTCATTTAGATTGTTGTTTTTCACATTATACATGAACGTTGCCTTTTTGAATATCATTCGTTCTGCCAGTGGCCGCCAACCAAGTTCTGATAAAATCTCACACGATCTAATCTTGTACGATTTGCCTGAAATGACCCTTGCAGCCCCTGTTCTGCAATTTTTGTAAATTTTCAATTAGATAATTACTGCATGTATCCCAGACAAGGCTACAATAGTCAAAATGAGGCAGAATTAGGGCATTGTAGACATGCATTAAAGTAAATTTCGGTACGTAAGGTTTCATTCGTCTTAACATACCGATTCCTTTTGAAACCTTGGCAATTGTAGCATCAACATGATTTTTCCAAAGAAGCTGGTCATCTACCACAACCCCCAAGGTTTTTATTTCACTTACTCTGTTGACTTCTGTATCGCCTAATCTAATTGTAGGAGTTTGGATATCATTTAAACGTTGTCTAGAGCCTATCAACATATATTCAGTTTTTTTCGATATTTAGAGTTAATTTATTGGCAAGCAACCACCGGTGAACTTTTTCTAGATCCTCATTCAATTGACTTTGAACAACTTCGGCCAATATACCGCTAGTTGTTAAATTTGTATCATTGGCAAACAGACTTGTGTTCGAGAAAGATAGACAGTTAGGAAGGTCATTTACATAAATAAGAAAAAGTAATGGGCCCAAGTTAGACCCCTGAGGAACTCCACAAGTAATAACAGCCGGAGAGGACACTGTTTGAGCAATTTTACACATTTGAGTACGATTTGTAAGATAAGATCGAAGCCAATCTAATGTCAGTCCATTGCAGCTGTAAAGAATTAACTTTTTTAACAAAATGTCATGGTCTACGCAGTCAAAAGCTTTCTTTAAATCAAGGAATATTACCCCGTTTAAATATCCTCGATCCATATTTATCAACCATTTATTAGTTACATCCAGCATTGCTGTTTCCGTTGAAAATTTTTTCCTGAAACCAGATTGCTGGGAGGCAAGCATTGCATTATTTTCCAAATACTCGTACAAGTGCACTGATATTAGTTTCTCAAACATTTTGGCAACAGTTGACAGAACTGAAATAGGTCTATAGTTGTTACATTCTGTCTTGCTTCCACTTTTATATAATGGAGATATTATTGCAGTTTTTAAACCATTTGGAAAAGTACCTGTATTAATTGACTGGTTAAAAATATGAGTTAAAATTGGAGCAATAATTACTGCTGAATCTTGCAAAAGCTTTGAAGGTATCTTATCATGTCCACAAGCTTTGGATATCTTTAATGTAATGAGCAACTGAAATACATCTACCTCTGACACATTTTGTATTTGAAAAGTTGAATTACTAGGAGTAACATATGATTCAGGTACATCGGTAGCATCTGGTATTTCATTAGCTAAATTTTCTCCAATTGTCTTGAAATAGGTATTAAAAGTGTGTGATATCTTATTTGGATCTTCAGTAACATCATTTGATATGTTAAGTTTGGTGATCGTAGTTGTCTTAGATTTTTTATTTGTTAATTTATTAATTGTGTTCCACGTATTCTTTGGATTATTTTTCATATCATTTAGAACAATCGTATAATAATTCTTTTTTGTGTCTTTAATAAGTTTATTCAACGCATTTCCGGCTCTTTTATATGCGACAAACATGTTTTCAGATCCTGTGTTAATTGCTTTTTTCTTAAGAAAATCTCTGATAAATCTGTTTCTTAATATTGTTTGTCATCCAAGGAGTGTACTCGCTTTTAACCTTTCTCGTAATTTGAGGTGGGTGAATGTCGGCAACAAACAAAAATCTTGTTTTAAAATCTTCCCAGAGTATATCTGCGTTGTTATCATTTATCGTATGTTGCAGAATATCCCAAAGCTCTGTAAGAAACGAATTTTTATCATGTTTAAATTGGGGCGAGCGGATAATTTTTGGTTCGTTACGTGGAATGGATATTTTTCGACATACGTAGATTAAACTGTGGTCACTTATGCCAAGGTGATCTACACCTGACATTGTGATGAGTTCTGGTTTATTACATAATGCAAGATCAATCAGTGTCCTAGAGGCTGCCGTTACCTGAGTGGGTTCCTTAATAATTTGTTCAAATTGATAAGTACTCGCTAGAGTAGCCATTCTAACTGTATGAGAGGCAGCATTATTACTGGATAACTTGCTCCAATCACAATTAATGTCCCCCATAAGAATACTCTCTTTGTTCTCTAAGTCCATATTTATAATACAGTCTTCATACCATTCGAAACATTCAATAGAAGCATCTGGTGGGGGATACCAAGTGTTAACAAAGAATGATTTTGCCTTTGGAGGACAGACCTCAATCAGGATTGTTTCAATATTTTCATTCATTAAATCATTTCTTATTTTGTAATCAATGACATTTCTGATATATAATGCTACCCCACCACCATTTCGGTTCCTATCTTTTCTAACTATATCATAGCCACTTATTTTAATTTCATAATTAGATATTGTACTGTCAAGCATAGTTTCGTTTATACTTAATATGTTATACTTTTGATTAGATAAATAAATTTGTAACTGGTCTATGTTTTTGACTAAGCTTCTTATATTTAGGTGGCCAATTTTAAAGCCTCTCATTTTCATAACTGGGTTATTTGCATTTGATTTAATTTGATTTGCATTATTTAGGGCAAAATGTTTGTAAGAATTATCCTCGGTAGCCGGTTTACTTCAATTGCCCGAACCCTTATTAAAATAGCCTATCAAGTTTTTAGCTAAAATGGAATTTCCTGCTCTGTTAAGATGAACTCCGTATGAGTTCAAGTGTTTGGCTTGTAAGTTGCCGTGTTGGATTAAGTCTATATTTTGATCTCGACAATAGCTTTGAAGTTGTTGTTTGATCTTACCTATTTTAGGTATATATGATGAACTGTCGGTCCTCATTATTTCAGACAGCACAGGTTTGGTTTCGGGAGATTCAACATGAATAATATTTACGATATCGGCAATACTGTTTACAATCTCTTGAGGATTTTTCTTTGCTAGATCATTTGTTCCCACATGCAAAATGATCTCGCGAGGCATGGTCTGATGTGATGTTTCATGTCCTCTATCATTGCGCCTCTAAAAGTCTGCATCGAGACTCGTCTTACGGTTTTTGAAGATCGTTGTAATCTCCTATCTAAGTGTTTAGTCATTGAGTCACCAATTATTACTGTGCTTGGCACTTTTGCTTTGCTTGGGCGAACGGATTCTTTGTTTTGAAGTTCGTCATTGTTCTTGTTCGTTTGTCCTTGACTCTTGTTTATTACCTTTTGCCTTCCATTGACAAGGGGGATTTCTTGTGATTTGATTTAAATATCACTGTCGCTTAAAATTTCAAATTGGTTTCTAATTACCGTATCACTTTTACTAGCAGAGAATGTCTCAACTTGTTTTTCTGACGCTGCACGCCCTTTGCCATTCTGCCAGCCATTGCGATTTTCTTTACTTTCTGGTTGATTTAGGTCGGCATCTGTCTGAAGAACTTTTATTACCATAAGCAGAGATTTTTTCTCCTCTTCTAGATCGCTTACGTTTGCTTTAAGTGACACCATAGCATATACAAGATTTTCGCAGCGTTTTAAGGTGTCATTTTCTGCTTATAGCGATTTATTCTCCTGTACCATGTTTTGCGTATATTCTTGGGACAGATCGTTGTTACATACACTGTTCGATTTTAATTTGTCGATTTGACTTGAAAGCTCGAGTACCTTTGCATTCACACGATTTTCTAAAAATTTGAAATTCTCAGCGAGTTTTTCCAGAGAGACACTCGAATGTTCAACGTTTTCAACATTTGAGTGATTATCGTTGTCAGCATTTGAATGTTCATCGTCTGTCGTATTTGTAGTTTCATCATCATAGTCTAACATTTGATTGACTGATATTTCGCCCTCGACAACATCTATGATTTGTTGTTGTTAAGGCACCAAATCAATAAGCTTTAACTTTAAATTTTCACTGGCAGGTCCACTGAAACAAAGCGACTTTTATGAAGACTACCAGCGAATTACTAGGTTATTATCAGCTTCATATTGTTTACAGCCACCACGCCGCAGCGGCCATTTTGTCTCTGCCTTCAAAAACGAGTTAAAAAAGCTTTGAAGCGATTCAAAGCTTCCTTCCCACTTGATCGATCCTTTCTTAGTTATATGTAGATACTTTTCACCATTAAAAGTGCCTTGAGTTTCATTGGACGAAGGAAAATAATCGGAGCTCTCTGATTCACTGTTTACCGCCATGACACTATGTATGTTAATCTGTTATGTGATGTAATTTTTGTATAAAATGCCAAGAGCATAGCTAACAAGACGCCTGCTCAGGCGTTCACACTGGGCAATAAATAAATAAAACACCATTGCAATATTCTAAAAAATAATTTGAAATATGTAGATGTTCTTCACTTCTTGACGGCCTTCACTTCATGATAACAAACATTCCAAGTACAGCACAATAAAAATCCATACAAACCCAATAAAGTTCAGCGATATCTTATCGAAAAACACAGAAAAAGTTCAAGTGCATGCGTAATGAAATATCATAAAATACGTCCCACAATTACAGCGCCTAAGATTTGTAACATAGTTAAAAACGAAATTTGTTCTGATTAACATTGTGTAAAATTGGTCCTAACTGCAATCCATGTCCTAATCATCTTGTGAGCATGTTTTAGCTAAATTGTACAATCCTGAGCCCACAATGCCGCAACGGAATGTCACACTTGCTACAACAAAAAATCCGGAAAAGACCGACAAAGACATCAAAGGCATTCTATGACACTGGCTGCAGCCAGTGTAATAAAGTGTAAGTTGATTTTAAAAGTCTTCTGGTGTAGTAAATAACAATTAGTGATGAGGTTTGCTATTTTATGGAGCATAAAGAAGAAGGGCAAGTTGCCCAGCCGGGCCACATGGAAGAATATTTGCAGAAATTCCCCAATAACAATTGCACAATAAATGAGGACCAGGAAGCATTAATTGATCCTATAAATGAGGAACAGGAAGCATTAATTAGGGAACATGCTAATTTCTCTCCTGTAGATCCTTCTTCACTCTTATAAATCTTCATGGCCTCTTTGAACGACCCTGCTTCACCATAAACTTCATCAAATCTTTCATTTTGTGCACTACAAATTGTGGACCATTATCCAAGACAATCTCTTTGGGCAGACCATGAACAGAAAACAGGAAATGTAATGCTCGAATCCTTGCATAGGCGTTGAAAGATCGATAAGTGGGGTGACCATATTCATATATTTGTGTTCTGCATTATTAATTTCTTTTGAAATCGATTGTTTTTAAGGTCTGTGAACACGAATATATGAATATGGTCCCCCCCCCACTTATCGATCTTTCAACGCCTATGAATCATTGCAGCAGCAGTAAGTTGACGACATAGATAGGACTTCAATCCATTTCGATTTGGCATTTACCACTATCAAGTACATCACACCATCTACAGAAGAAGTCAGTGTGGCAGATAATGGTAATGAAGGACAACCCAATGAATGAGCAGAGTACAACTCAAACCTCAACCCAGAGATCTGGCAATAATTTGTGGATTAGAGAAATTTCACCAGTACCTGTATGGAAGGCATTTTTTCTTAATCACAGACCACAGACTTTCTACCTTGCTTGGGCTTAAACGAGGGATTCCAGTGTTAGCAGTGTCACGTCTTCAGAAGTGGGCGATTCAAATTGGTGCATATCAGTATCAGTATGATATTGAATACAGAACTTCTAAGAACAATGCAAACGCTGATGCGTTGTCCCAGTTGCCGAGGAAAATTGTGGAAGAGCCAGATGTCTGGACTTCTGAAGCAGAAGTAAACCGAGTTCATCTCGAACGGCTCCGATTTCTGTATCTATGATCAGAGAAGCTACGCAAACAGATCCTGTCTTGTCTCTCATGGTGTATTTTGTGTTGCATGGTTGGCCTGAAGAGGGAACTTTGCCAGAAGAACTCCGATTTTTCTTCATGAAACAAGACCACAGAAGAATGCTGTCTTCTGAGAGGAACCAGATGGTGATTCCAACCAGATAGCAAGGGCAGGTGTTGGTGAGTTACATTTGAAGTCATTTCTCTGCCTAGTGAACTATTATCGCAAGTTCATTCCAGATATGGCAACCTTGGTAAATCCTCTGAATCGTTTGCTATCCCAAGATGTTCTATGGAGCTGGTACGACGACTGTCAGAAAGCATTTGAAACCTTGAAAGTGGGTTTGGCGAATTCACCATTATTAACGCATTACAACTCCAAGATGCCAGCGAGACTAGCTGCTGATGCATCATCATGTGGAATAGGAATCATGTTATCTCATGATGGAGAAGAACAACCCATATAGCTTATGCTTCTCGAACACTTTTCACTTTCCACCAGTGAACAAAATGAATCGATGATTGAGAAAGAGTGGTGAGAACATTCAAAGAGGCCATGAAGATTCGTAAGAATAAAGAAGGATCTGCAGGATAGAAATTAGCATGTTTCCTGTTGGGGTATCACATGACTCCACATACCACTACTGGTTGTACACCAGCTGAAATTCTGATGGGGAGAAGACTCTGAACCAAAAAAACTTATTAGTAGATATACCTACTAGTCATTACAAAATGAACACAGAACTGTCAGTTTTGGGTGGGAGGAAATGTGTTATGTTAGGTCATCAGGTGTATATTTATGTTAATTCTATTATGTTATGCACATTTCCGTCTAGATTTTTGTATAAAATGCAAAGAGCATCGTTAATAAAGTGTGAGTTGATTTTAAAAGTCTTCTGGTGTAGTAAATATAACACAGTATAGTTTTGTTTCTTTGTTTCTGTACTAAGATTGTGACATGTTTCAGAATAACATGTCTCATTGACCTTTGACTTATTCCCAAGGCTCAAGGTCATGTTGTGTTTCACAAGTTTCACTAGAATAAAGTCCATACAAGACTACTGACTGAGGAGAATTAATAAAAAATATGGAAAGTTTCAATCAATTACTTGAAGAAACTGTGAACACTCCTGTTCCTAGGCCTACATTGGGTACAACAGGAGGTAAAGAACAGGGAAGGAGAAGGCCGATCAGAGATCGGAACGCTGGCGACAGGGTCCGGAGCTGGCGATCTCAAGATTGTCCATGTGGAGTGATCGAGATCAACCAGCGAAATCGCACCATCCATTTATTTGTGTGTATACAAGAGGAGAACATTTCAAAAATAAAGATGGAATTTCTCGAGCAGATTCCAGGTGTAACCGAGACAAATCTGAATACAGGTTTTTTTTCCAGGATTTTCTCTTGGGTCCGTTTTTGCAGAGAAGATGGAGTCTAGCTGAACAGCTGGGGTGGCTGCACCCCACCTCCCTACCGGGGGGCTGACACCTGTACTCAATAAATGTAGTTGAGACAGAATGTGTTAAAGCAAGGGCACTAGGGGACACTATAAACTGGTTAAAGATGGCAAATGCATAGCTTTTCTTGTGTTGTGAGATGAATTCCAGCCATTTTTTCTTAATTGTCGGGTTTCCAACTGAAAACTAATTTCCACACGTCACAAATTTAACTCAAACAACTTCATTTTTACTGAACTGAAACTTTGGTGAGAAGATTGAGTTTCAAAACTCAATTCAAGATTGAGTTTTTGGGGCCGTTTAACGGCCCTAAAAAATCCCTGAAAAAAACCTGTCTGAATACGATGTTATCATTATATGATGCGGAGAGGCTACCATTGTTCACCTGCTATCTCTCAAATTCATTTTGATTACTAATATTTAGTAATAAGCACTTGCATGTAAATATTCTATGTATGTTTTGTATTTACTCGAAGATATTAGCTATTTTATGCTATTCTGTAAATTCGAGTTTAAATAAAGTTTATGTATGTATGTAATGTCACTATAGATTTCAATAGTTTCACAGTTATAGCAGTTTGGATAAGCTTTGATATAGATGAAGAAGGCCCCTAATATCTGAACCCTATAATCATTTCTATATTCAGAAATCAAGCAATCATGCTTGACACATGCTGTATGTGGTGTGGTTTGAGCAATTCCCAGAGTATTATCAGGGTTCAACATAGCCATTATCGCTGGCAGTTTTAATTTCAAAACAGAGGGGATCAGCAACCGCATACTTTAACGTAGCTGTTATCGACTCCATCAATCTGTGGCCAAGGCTCTGGAACATAAAGCTGGAATGACAAGAAAGCACAAGAACTGTGGGCACTGATCGAGCTGCGTCTCTGCTGACCGTATGGCAATGCAGTCTGCGAGTCTTTCATCCCATACTTGCGTGTAGTCAAGACAGACTGGCACAACCGGTTGAACAAAAGCAACTTGACTCATTTAATGCACAATAAAGTGACAGGTCCAAGCCTGCACGTTTTCTGTGAGCATTTTGTGAGCTTGCTGTGGACCTCTAGAATAGTGATAAATCACCTAAGGGAAACAAAAGTAGTATGCTGCAAGAGGAAACACATCAAAAAGGACAAGAAAGACAGAGAGGGAAGAATTCCTAAGAGATTGGTTGAAAGACATTGGAACTTAGGGTGAAGAGGAATCGGAGAGTGAGGAAAATGAAGAGATGGAAGCTGATGCATCGAGGAAGATGGCCCAGAATCAGCCAGGAAATCTCACTAGTTCTCTCTGCTCAGTGGGAGTTGTCAGACAGCTCCGAACACAAGAAGAGCCTCTCCTGGGCGGAATGAGAAGCAGTGACTCTGAGTGACGGTGACTGGTGATTCCAACTAAACTATAGTACTCTATTGTCAATAGTGAGAGGAATCCAAAATGAACTGAGCACCAGATTTTGAAAAGTGACAGATTTTTAGTCGTTTGCGATGTATTTATAAATTTATAAATATAGATTATTTACCTTCCCTAGCTTAATCACGGGCAATATGACAGTTGCAGTGTTGTTAAATAAAAAGTTAGGAATGGTATTGTACTTACTCATGTATAACAATTATGTTTAAAAGATAAGAATATTCATAACTTCTTATTTTGTTTCATAAATAGTTATTTAATATTCGAAACAAATTCCACATCTACTTCGTCTATAGCCTGCGTAGCAGGCTCTACTTTATGGGGGAGGGCGAGGGTTGAAAAAATTGGAGGGGCGAGAGAAAAATAGAGCCTGCAGGAAAGCCATATGTTTTCGCATATCTCCCAAATCCCGCCCATTAAAAAAACAGCCAATCAGTGATTTGATGCAATTAAAGGATTTTCCCTGTGACAGATCCAGTTTCACAACAACTATGCATAATGCGCGTGTATACTAAGTGTATATTTTGTATGTCATGTCCGAAACGCCAAAAAAAATTGTAAAAAGAACAGGCAGAAAAGCGAAAGAGGCAAGCGCTAACGATACATGCAGGTTTTGCAACAGCAATCTAAAAGCAGTATGTGGAAGTAAGCCTTCCTTTGAAAATTTGTTTAAGCCGTCAGGCAGACAAGACAGTCAAAATTTGATTTTAGCGAATGCGTGCGAGTCCATTGGCTTTGAGTTGAATCGAAGCGAAACTTTATCGGATCGAGTGTGTAAACCTTGTGGAAGGAAAATAAGGAACGCTGCTGAACTATACAAATTTGTAAAGGAAGCAGTTTCCTCAACGATAGTAAAAGAACAAAACGATACGGTTTCAGACGATCTGGGTGAGAGAAGCAAACGGCAGTTGCCCAGTACAGTAACTCCAGATAGGAACGAGTCGAAGAAATCACACAACGAAAACAAGGAGAGTACTTGTGTCAAATCTAGAACTAGAAAGTCTCTTTTCCTCGACACAGAAGAACGAGATTCTCCATCGCTTACCGTCGCATCGCAGGACAATTCGTTATTAACAACGACAGTAAGTCGAAGCAATTATTTCGATCAATTACCGAAATATATTGACCCTGTTTGTGATATTAAACAAAACACTCGACAGGCTAAGTTGAAAGTGATTATAGCGTATCCTAATAGTGATATTACCGCTCGAGAAACGTTTGACGGAACAACTAAAAGCGTAATAAAGAACTTATCGTTGAAAAATTGGAAAACAGTTGCAAACCTAGTTTTGAAACATCCTCAGTTAAAACAGTATATTATAGAGGCTTTGGAACGGGGTGTGTCGGACGAATTTACATGTTTGAGCAAGTCAGAAACCATTCTAAAGGGAAGAGAAGTCGACGAAGTCATTGCTTTTAACAACAAACTTCTTGTTCACGAAGTAAGCGTCTTATGTCCGTTGTGGCATGCTTGCATAAAAGGAGCGTGTGGGGAAAAAAGCTCGAAAAAAGCAAGCGCGCGCAAGTCTGTCATGGCTATGAATTCAATGGCGTTAGCGACAGCTTCGTTGGCGCGAGTACGAAATGCAACGTTGTCTGCATTTGCATATCGTGTTTCTACGATTCTTTTTCATAGTGGTACAAAGTGTGACGACATTCTTCGTTTGAGTCGCCTGGGTATATGTATGTCACCAGACAGCACTGTGCATTTCCAAAGGAAGTTGGGTGAAAATCACGAATCAAAAATATTATTCTGGAAGAAAACATCTGAACAGACTCTGTCAGCTTTGAACATGCTTGAAGCAATCAAAACAAATCAGGTGCCAGTGCTAGAAAAGGATGACATGGAAATAACTACCACCATTAACTTAGACGAGCAAATAGTAAAGGGATACTCCAACTTTGATCCTTCGGCATATGAGTACTGCAAAACATTACTAGAAAATGTTATGAGTAAAAAAGAAGAATGTTCAATAAATAGTGATACACTTGAGGATGCAATTCGTGAGATCCAAAATGATTTACCCATTTACAAGTAAGTTGATATATTAATATATCTAAGGCTTTTGTTGATATCCACAACAGTATCATAGACTACCATCCCAGGTTTGGCATTTCCCATTGTATTGCATATTATCCAGCACTGATACAGCTAAGGTTTACTTTTTTGGTTGAGCAATCTTATTTTTAAGGGCCTTTGTTGCTTTGGGGGCACTGCTTCCCAGGACAATTAATCAGTATAGTGGAGTAGGATATGTAGTTAGGCTGGGGCAGATGAATAGAAATAAATTGAATGGAATAGAATAAACTAAAAATGAACAATAACTACAATAAAATAAAAAATAGCATGTAATCATGCAATATGCAATGTACTCTAATAGATATTTGACCATTATTACAGGTAATTGAAGATTCAATTTGTCTTGCAGGATTGTTGGAGATAACATTGACTATACAATTAATGCCCGAATACAGTCAAAGAATAACCGTGATCAATCACTACATTGGACTCACCAATATGCAGTATTGAGCAGAGCCATTCACCCTTCATTGGACAATACAAAGTCCCAGAAGAGGATCAGTGATATTCAACTTGT